CGCTCAAATAACAACTAATCAGTACAGAAATTCCTTAGCCATCCAGCCATACTCTTTATTTGGCCCAAAACGGTAATAATGTGTGCGAATTTACGCAATTTATGACAAATGATACCGAAAACAGTTGCACTTTTGTGTACGTGCATGTTGCGGTTCACACTCACCTTGCAAGTGTATAACAGTGCAACTTTTTTTCGGTACCACTTGTCATAAATTTTGTACACATTATCACTGTTTTATGCCAAACAAAGAGTATGGCTGGATTGCTAAGGAATTTCTGTACTGATCAGTTGTAACTTGAGCAAGATGTGCGCGGTAGTTTTTGAGTTAGACAAAAAAGTATTAAGGGTGGACTTTTTTGGGGGGTTAAGTGTACTAGTTCATACACATACATACAGTGTACATGTATACATGTACACATGTATGTACATGTAGGCTACTTAATAATCTTGTACATGTCCATTATGTACATGTATGAAGATAAATTCCAGTTTGGGTGAGAGAAATGTTCGAGCTTTTCCCTAAAATTTCTTAGTAAATGATAAGCTGGCTCCCAACAAGTCATAGGCTTTGGAGAAGTTAACTTCCAACAAAGATTGTACTATGGCAAAAGAAATATTGTTGGGACCACACCACAACTGCTCAAGCAAAAAGACATGAGTACTAACATGTACCGGTAGCTGAAACTTAGGGCAAAATACTTTTAGTTAAACTTCATTTAAAATAGATTTGTTTTGGTTATAAATTGAAGTGTACACTAAAAAATTACTTTTCTGGACTGCTGCGTGTAAAAATTATTGGGCCTACATGGTGTACATTTGCTGAAGTCATAAACAGGGGTAGTTTGCATACGTACATAATCACTTGGATTATGGCAATGTTTGCATTATTTCCTTATTCTTGAGGTTGGTAAAAATGCACGCATTTGTTGTCACATCTTCTGCATTTTGCAACCCTGGAAAAACTGTCCATTGGAAAAAAAGGACATTTATTATATCAGTGCACACTGTATTGTTGGCCTGTAGGGTAGATCTACCTGTGGAATAACAGAAGAAAAGACTCAATGAATGATGTGTTTGTGGAATAGAACTGAAAATATGTCCAGATTTCTCCGGGGGCAGTTGCACTTGTGCCAAAAATAGCAATTTTTGATCCAAACAATAATCCCCAAATCCTGATGTTTCTTCAAATTTACCACTTCCTTGTTGCCGGGATTTGGCTGAGTGTAACACCAGACATATAGGCACGTACTCCACAGCCCTAGACCAACCCACTACAACCTTTTTTTGTGTGTCAAAAAGAAAATTTGGAATATGGTGGCCTTTTGGCCTTTGCATAAAGCTCTGTGATTTTTTTGTCTGGCTTGACAATGTGGATAGGGTCTCGATTTATTCTATTGGTAGGCTGCTCGAGCACAATAGACTGCACCATAGAGTGGGGGCTGGCACCATTAAACCTAGACTTCTGCAAGTTAAAAAGCTATGAGTGGTCTGGTCAGTGTTACATAAGACAGAGTTCAACATGATAAATATAATTTACTGGAGAGCTCTGTTAGAGATTGAAGCACTATTTTAAACTCTTTAAAAAAACCCAGGTTTTTAAAATTAGTTTTCAATAACTACTGTATGTGTGTTGTATGGTTGCGCTTGAAAAACTACCTTTGTTTCTTTACAAAACACGTTGTTAAAACTTGAAGAGAAATTTAAATGCAAGTAGAAAAGAATGTTCCCCCACTACACAAATTTGAAGAAAAAAATGTTTAAATGTAGACAATATTTTAGAAAATTATAGGCCTACTACAATGTACATGTACATGTATTGTGGAAAATACAATGCACACGTGCTAATTAGGGTAAGCTTGGAAAGCTACCGATACCCTTTTTATTTTCAGTGCACAAACACTCTTGGGGCAAAATTGCATTAGAAAGGAAGGTTCTCTGACTACAGAAATTGGAAATAATACTTTCGTAGCTTTGTGGAGGAATGAGACCACCTCACATTATATGTGTATGCAGTGACTAGTAAGACCAACCAACTTTCAAAATGGCACAAATATGCAAATTTATTCGAACCCAATTATACTACGCCTTTAATCGCACCCAAGTTCATGTATACCTTTAAGTTTAAGCAAGCCCAAACCTAATTTTAAATATTCATACTTAAAAATACATTTTACAGGACACACATGTACCGGTACATGTACATGTACTATTGTACATGTATGTACAATGTACACGTACCGTACATGTATGTAAACCACACAGGCCTGCAAAAGTGACTTCCACTATGTACTGTACTGTATGGACATTTCAAAGGTGTGGCAATTTTCTGGAGCAGTTAGGAAGCTATCGTTTGGAGGGGGTCGGGCCTTTTTTATCGCGCTTCAGTGTCAAATAAGGACCCTTTCAACCCGGCTTTGTATATATACTGCTCTCTTCGGCTTGACTTTTCCTTGAACTTTGTTCCTGGGAACGTGTGGGAATGTCATCTGAGAACATTCAATGCATAATTAGACTGAGTGAGGTGTATACATGTGTGTAGGGTTCAAAGGACAGGAGGAATTTTTATGCATACCAGGTGTGAGAACTTTGCATTTTCTGGGATGTGTCAGCAGTGCTGCGTCCTTGGAGCCAGGAAACACTGATAATTTTCTAGGAGACACTTTTGTTTGTCCAAGTTTGACAGTGCCTACCTACCTACCTACCGGTACACAGTACTTGTTCATGATGGGCCTTACATCAAATCATGTATTGTACCAAAACAGTCTACATATTTAGGTTGCAGACTAGTAGACAAACTGCAATAGTCCCCAGTGATAAATTCGCCCACTTCTGAAATTCGGGGAAAAAATACTTACAACTCTGCAAGGTGTTCATACCGGTACATACATCAAATTAAAGCTTATTTCATGATCTTTCATTTTTTGGTTCAATTTGGGGGAGGGCTTAAACAGTGACTTTAGGGAGAAAATTCCATCCAGTGATAATCACCCCTAAAAGTAGACCTGTAGCCCATTGCCATTTTGAAAAAAAGATGCCTGCACTCCATTGCAGTATACAAGTAGAGCAAGTTTAGGGCCCAAATTCATCATATCAGACATTGGTTATGGAGGGGCTCCGTTGGATATCAGGTGATTAACAGGCCTTTCTGTGGCATTGTGTGCAAATCCAGTTGTGTGAATTCATCCAGCTCTAAAATAAATAAGGCCTACTACGTGTTAATAATCTAGCAAAAAGTGAAGAAAGTACCGGAGCATTGAATTTGAGCAGTGAAGTTTGAGGAGAACAAACCAGTAGGCTGACCAGCCTGCGATTTTCTTTCTCCCAAATGACATCCACATATGGGTGTACGCTATGGCGTTTTGGACTTAACTTTTATAAAAACATGAGAAGAAAATATAAAATTAGAAAAAAAAAGTGAATTTGAACGTTATGAAATTCGGACTTATTTCCCTTTTAAAAAATCCTCCGAATCCTCAGGTTAGAAAAGAAAAAAATGTGGGTGCAAAACCGAGATTTGAACCCGCAACCTCGCGGTGCAAAATCATACCCTCTATCGACTGAGCTGTCGCACTGCTCGCCAAAACGTGGGGAAACAAGTAATTATATACCTGCATGGGTATTATAAAAGTATCGTAGAGGGCGCTAAACAACCATGTACCGGTATGAGGAATTCACATTTTAACTGTTCATGTGTCAGTCAACCAAATAAGGAATTAGCAGTTGCCTCTGTGGTAGAGCCTGTTATTATCCAGCTGCTCGCTATGTGGAATTCAGACAACAAAACCACAGTCCCTGCACATTACACAGCTTTATTATCAGTTGACAATTACAGACCGAATACCCTGAAGGATTGCTCAAATATTTTGAACACCAAATTGAATGTGTTGTAACCGCTGCCAACAGCATATGGTTGTACATCATCTGTCACCACAAAAATTGATCACAGCATTAAGAGCTACCGGTATGGCTCCCTAATGGTGGAGGGTCTACATAATGAAATAAAAGGAATTTTTTTGTGAAAAAAAAAACACTTTCATTGAAGGCCACTTTCAAACATGATTTGAGAGCTTTCAAGAGGTTTATTAGCTGAAATTTCTTCTTTCAAGGGTCAAATCATTCAAATATTGACCATTACGCTACCTGTTCTGTACTTTTAATAAAAAAAAAGGTCTTTGTCAATTTTTGACAAGCGGCGGTACATATGTAGCTGCAGTGCAAATCCTCGATAAGTAGCAGGATTAGGCTGGCACATGTTTAAATTGATCACGCATTTTGAAATGGAGTACTTGAATGTTCGGAAAGAATTCCATACATGGACATCACTAGTTTTCCCCTGCAGTGACCTATCAGCCATCAAAAGCAATAACATGTCCTGAACAGTCAAATTTAGCAGGGAAAATAATGAAGCATTTACTGAGAAAACACAGTTTTTCAGACCAGTCTCATAGGGTTTGTACACAGGGTGTCAAGTGATTTCTGTGGTCCAATGATTACGGTGTTCGATTCGTGTGCCGTGGTACATGTACATGGGTTCGAATCCTGACCGTGGGAACATTGTGCTTGTGCTCTTGAGCAAGGCACTTCACCATTATTGCTTCATCCTTCGGATGGGACGTAAAGCCGTAGGTCCCGTGTGTTGTGTAATGCACGTTAAAGAACCAAGTGACACTAATCGCTAAGAGAAAGGGTTTGCCCGGTGTTTCTGGCAGTGGCTGCAATATGCGCCGCAGCACCTTTTCAACCCTTATAATGTGCTACAAAATGGGTCTCATATTTCTCATATACTTTATTTACCTTTCTTTAATAATAGACATAATTTCCTTGAGTACCTAATTGTTGGTAGATACGTGTGCTATATAAGACTCCATTATTATTATTATTATTATCCCACCATGGAATTCTTTCCAACTATTTAATCCAACCAAGTTTGAATAATCGAATACTAATTTTATGCACAGCCCTAACTTATGAATTTTTGGTTTACCTCTCAACTTGCAGACAGCACAGATATCGTAGATGGCAAGCGCAAGCTGATCCTGGGCATGATATGGCTGCTCATCCTGCACTACTCCATCTCCATGCCCATGTGGGAGGATGAGGGGGAGCTTGACGAAGACGCCCACAAGCACAGGCAGCCGACGCCCAAGGAGAAGCTCCTGGGCTGGATCCAGAACAAGGTCCCCGACGTACCCATCAAGAACTTCACTAGGGACTGGAATAATGGCCGGGCAATCGGCGCCCTCGTGGATGCCTGCGCACCAGGTTTGTGTTGCAGAATGGTGTATAACAAGTCTACAGGGTGTTTCCAAAAAAAAGGAAACCGAGCCTTATTTTGTTGATTTCTCGGGTATGACTAATTATTTAGGAAAATGGTGACCACCATCTGTTACATAACCATGTCTTCTTTTTCTTGACACCACGAACTCCATTTTACCGTCGCGGATGAAATTTTATGAATCTTAAAGGGACGACACAACACAACACAACAAAAGTGAAACAAGTCAGTTTTACAATATTTGCTATAACATACTTATCCTCCAAATCCATATATTTCTAAAATTGCAGCAAAAGCAAATGTTGCACATTCTCTTTAACAGTGAAGAAAATATCTATATGTAGATAAAGTGTTCGAGGTAAAACTGGGGGGGGGGGGGGGGCAAGAACAAAACTTGGGGGAGTGGGCGGGTACACTGTGTATGTATGTGTAGCAGAGGTGGGAAAAACGCCCGAAAAAAACTATACCAGCGAGACCTTTTGACATTGATTTGAGTCTAAAGAATGCACCCTCCATATTGACCTTTGCCCCTTAACCTCACAAGAGAACAGACAGGTGTCGGCTGTTATATTATTAGATGACTTGGAGGTTTTATGCATATAAGTACAAAAAGGTGCTTTGCCCCCCAACCACCCCCTAGAAAAATCCGGGCGACGCCCATGCTCCCAATGTGAGCATAGTTTGGAGTTTACTGACAGGCTGAGCAATAGGACTTTTACTTCCCCGATGTGTTTGAATACCAACCAATGAAAGAAGTGCATTTGGTTCATAAATGCATGAGGTCCTAACCCTGCTGAATACAACAGGATCCAACTATGTCACATACCCGATGGAGCCTGTTGGATTGAGCAGTTAACCCCTTGTGTATACATTCCTCATGCACAATGTTGGATTCAGCAGGCAACTGAACCGCATTATAACGCCATGTTGGACTCCGTTGGATTCAGCAGACAACTGAAAATGAGGCACAGTGGATTGAGCAGGAAAGTCCGGTTGGACTCTGTTGGATTTAGCAGGGTAGTCCTGAGGAAGTACTAGGGGGTTAGGGTCTATATGTGTATGTCTTGCACTATCTGTATTTGCTATGAATTGGCCTTGGTCTATTTTTTCTAAAATGTTTCCTTTTTTTGACAATTCTCATCAGGACTTTGCCCTGACTGGGAAGACTGGGATCCCAAAGACAACTTGAAGAATGCCAAGGAGGCCATGAAGCTGGCTCAGGATTGGCTGGATGTGCCACAGGTAATGGACCGAACACAGACAATGGGCCAATCACAGAGTCTGGTACTGACATCTTGAAACGAACGACATGTTTAATCATCATGGAAATGCATATCACTGAGTAGTCATGAAGAGTCACACAAACGTGATTCTTAAGTATCGACAGTTTCTGTTATTTAACTCTCAGTAAAGAATGCCTTGTCAAAAAGTACTGTATTTGGCAAAAAAAACTTCTTTTATGTACACTTTGAAACCCATAACTTGAGTATTGAAATTTCCTAAATCAGTCACTAGCAATCCGTGTTGGAAATCGGATTAAGGCCTTGTCAAAGATCTTGTCATGGAATCCAAGTTTAAGGTCAAGTTATACTCTTTTGCAGTGATGACACAAACTATGCAAATACTAGTATTCCAGTTAAAAAAAAAAAATGATAATTGCACTCGATTCCTTTAGTACCAAATGACTTGAACAAATCTGGGGAATATCTTGAATGAATTATTCTTCGTTATAAAGCATGAACATCTGTGATGCAACATAGTTTAGAGTATGTATGTTCCTTGCTACTGATTGTCCCACTTCACAAGGGGTTGACTCAAAGAGATCGGCGGCACAAAGGGTTTGGCCGCCATTTTCTCCCATTACTGCACAAAGGCATGAGCCGCCATCTTGGCTTCTGTCTTTCAACACTCCTTACTCCGGAGTGGCCAGGGCCTGGCCAATGGGAGTCTACATGCTTGTGGTGTATAGTAGGGGTGAGGATTACATGGAAGCTTGGCCTAATTGGCCCATTGAAGAAAAAAAAAATATGCCCATATTTGGAAAATGTGGAGAATTTTATCACCGCTTCGCTGCTCAGAGGGTTAAGAAGATAACACGCTGATGTGTGGTTCTGTCTGAGACCTTTTGTATTCCAAATTTAATTTTTGTCTTAAAGGTATTGGACCCTAAGGACATGTGCAACCCCAAAGTGGACGACCTCAGCGTCATGACATACCTGGCTGAGTTCCCTAAATGCAAGCTGAAGCCAGGCGCGCCACTCCGACCACGCTCTAATGCCAAGAAGGTTAGTTGCCTTGAGTAGTGGACCATTTGTCGTTTGTTCCTTTTTTTTCTTGTGAAGCAACAAAAGTGCTCCAAATCTAAAGATGGGTGCTTCACAACTTATCCTGATGAATCTTTTGCTCTGTGCATGGCGTATATTTTCAGAAAACAATAGTCTAGGATCTCACTTTGTTGCCGAGTCATATTTTGAAGTGCGCAAAAACCAGCATCCGGGACACATTCGCACTCAGCCAATTGCGGCTACTCGATGTCATGCACTGAAGCGACAGATGTGTCATGTCAACGTTTGCGCGGACTCGTTCATGGACTTGCCCAAATTACAAACCAACTACTAACGGAAATTTCCAAAAAATGTGTCATTTGACACGCGAGCAAATGAGCATTGGAACATCTTCTTGCATTTGTAATGTGTCAAGAATCTTGTCAATGATTGAAGTTTTTGTTCTGGTCATTAGTCAAAGCACAAGTCCAAAACCTGATGGTGTGAAGACAGAAGGGGACTTTTTTCTTCAATCAGAGGTTATGAGCAGAGCCTTTGGAAAAACTAAAAATTTCCAGGGTATTTTCTGCAACACAGAAATTAAGAAAAAAGCTTTGTTGAAGCATCTCTTTTGATTTTCATATTATACTACTGAGATCAATTTTCAATCAATAGACGGCTAAAACAAAGACATTAAAGTGGGAATTTTTGAATATGTCTTTGCCTTTATGTTTTGGATTTAAGCCATTTCATTTTTACGTGGCCGCATAACAAGCTTGAAAACTGAATATTGTAACAAATTGTTAAAAGTTCCGCGAACTGCCTGTAAAAGTGCCTGTTTTCTCTGAAGGTGCGTGCCTACGGTCCAGGACTGGAAAGGGGCAACGTCATCTCGCTCCCCACGAGCTTCACTGTGGAGACGTTCTCCGCCGGAAGCGGCAAAGTTGAGGTGGTCATCAAGGGCCCAGGCGGCAAACTGGTTCCCAACGAGTGCAAATACAACAGCGACAAGAACAAGACCTATACAGTGACATACACCGCCAAAATCGCTGGTGTCCATACGGTAAGGTTTTTTTGTGTTTTTTTTTTTTTGGTCAGAGCTACAAAATTGTAATCAGGGGACATAAGCTGGACCCTGTTTGCGTACTTGTAAGGCCTTTTTACCACTTCCCAAATCTCTGTTGGACCTGTGTCTGAGAGTTTGGCACAAATCTTAGACAAGCAAGAATCCAATATGGCCTTTGCACAGGTTCGGTGCTATACATATGTGATGTGATCAAGCTAAATGAGTCGTTTGTCGGGAACTTTCGTTGTGAGATACAGGCCAAAATAGGGCCACTTCATCAAATCACTTCTTCACATCCATAATTTTAGAACTAAAGATGGTATCAGCATGTGGTTTTCACAGCAGTAATGCTGACATTGTGCTCTTTTCAAATCTGTTAAAAAATAAATAACTAGGGTCGACAAATGACTCATTTTAATAGCTTGATCGCATCACATATCTGGTGCTCTACATTGGTAAAATTCAGCTCTGGTCAGGCCCAGGTTTAAGAAGCTCCAGCTACCTGTGAACAAACATGGAGCTATAAAACGGAAGGAGTTTGCATGGTGGTGGTTCACCAATACTCAAGTTAAAACTTGTTTCGTCTGGTTTCTTTCATTTACATGTAGATCGAGGTCACCTTCAAAGGCCAACAGATCCAGAAGAGCCCCTTCTCCGTGGAGATCGGCGACATGAAGGGCGATGCTTCCAAATGTTCTGCCAAGGGACCGGGCTTGGAAGCAACTGGACTGATAGTCAACCAATCCACCCACTTTGAAATCTTCACAGCAGGTACAGGACCAATGCTGACAAGGCAACTAAACACCGCAATACAAGAAAGTCCACACTCATTGGAAGGGTCATCATTTTGAAATTGATCCTCTTATGATAACGTCATTTATATAGACTGTTGGGGAATGTTGCTAGCTACATTTTGACGTCCCGTTTGCTACCAAAGACTGTAAGTCGTCCCACATTGACAATGAATTATGAAAAATCATGCGGTTTAAAAAGTCGCAAATTTAAAGAGTACGCAAGTGGAAAATGACAATGTCCCAGCAGGGAATACCGATCACACAGTGCTTGACTGCAAGGGAGCACACAAATTGAATTACCTGTGCTTTGTTTGGGCACTGTGCAGTCGATAGGGGACAATAATGGACATGTGTGGTTACACTTAACAATTTCTCCTAATCTTTAAATTCGAAACTTTTCTACCTGCATCATTTTTCATAAACTGTTGTCAGTCGTAGATGATTTACATTCTTTGGTAGCAAACAGGGTACCAAAATGTAGCTAACAACATTCCCCAAAGGTCTACATAAATGACATCATCATAAGACGATAAAATTCAAAATTATGACCCCTACAATAGGTGTGGACTTTCTGTTTTTGCAGGGTTTATACATGCATGGGCACGAAAAAACACAAAGCACTTTAACTTTAACAGTCCACAAATCTCTACACTGCTTTTATATGGTTGTCTTAAGAATTAGGGAAAAAGGTCTTATGCCAAGCAAAATATTTTTGCCTCAATTGGTCAAAACATTATTTGGCAGGGCTCAATGATTCTATCCGTTTGATTTGATTCAATTAAGGAGTTGGCCAAGCCTATCAAGTGGGAAAGAGAAGGAGGGTGAGCAATTGACCTTTGGCATTTGACCTTGACTTTCGCAGGTGCTGGAGCTGGTGTTCCCATGGTCACAGTGATTGACCCCAACAGTGACACGACGACCTCCAGTGTCAAGGTCACCGACAAGGGCAAGAATGTGTTCTACTGCGAGTACGTACCCACCGTGGTTGGAAACTACACCATCGAGATCAAGTTTGCCGGCAAAGATATCCCCAAGAGCCCCTACAAAGTCAAGATTTCCTTCCGTAAGTTTTTTCATTTCGCTTGTTGTTAGCAATGAAGTTCCAGAAAAAAAGTGGGCGAGTCGATGTTAAATTTCTATCGCTACAGGAATGATTTTCATTGTATCTGCCCCAGCAACTGTCCTTGATATAGATGGGGATGTTTTGATGCAGAGTGCAAAGCATCCATTTGTCAAAAGAAGTTTCTGATGTGGAGTGCTGTGGTCCAATGGTTACGGCGGTCGACTCATGTGCCGTCATGGTGTCGATCACAGATGGGGAACACTGAGCTTGTGTTCATGGGCAAATTGCATGGGTTCAATTGCTCTCTCCACCCAGGAGTATAAATAGGTACCTGTGAAGATATCGGTAGAGACCGGAATGCGCTGATCTCGAGCTGCTGCAAAAACTGATCTCATTGTGAAATGCTTTGAGACCATTGGTATAAAGTGGTATTTGGTGCAGCAGCAATTAGTGGTGGTATCATGCGTTAATACAGTGTATAACTGTACATGAAACATCTGCTCTGGTGTGTACGATTTGATTTATGTCGTGTCTTTTTTTATCTCCCCTATTGCAGCATTCAACGCCCAGAAGGCCTTTGCCTACGGGCGCGGCATCCAGAACAAGGGTCTGCGAGTCCGGGAGGAATGCATCTTCTTTGTCAACGCCAAGGAGGCGGGCGAGGCTCCGCTGAAAGTTCAGATAATTGGTCCTGGTGAGCTTACAGTGTGTGCCGGGGACCGAGACATTGGGTGCTGGCTAGGCAACCATGCGTGCAGTCTGATTGAGAGATTGAATGTCAGAGTTGTAGACAGTCCGTCACAAGTCCATCATAAGTCAGATAACAAGTCCATCACAAGTCAGTCTCTAGTTACGTCGTAAGTAACATGAAACAAAGTCTGGCAGGGGAATGCCTTAGTCACAGTTTACTTGAATAGCATGTGACTTGACTTGCAACATGACTTGTTATTGACCTATGAGGACTTGGGATTGACCTGCGGTGACTTGTGAGGACATGTGAGGACCTTTGAGGTTTTGTGAGGACTTGTAAGGACATATGAGGACATGTGAGGACTTGTGAGGGCCTGTGAGGCTTGTGGGGACTTGTGGGGCTTTTGAGGACTTGTGGGGCTTTTGAGGACTTGTGAGGACATGTGATGACATGTGAGGACTTGAGGATGTGAGGTCTTGAGTACAACTCAGTATTGAATGTTGAATGAGAGGGAAGAGTGAGTGAAGTAGGGATGGAAAAAAAAGACGAAATACAAGAGAGTGCATAGAGATGTTGAGGGTAACAAAAAAATTGCACAAGTGTGAATTTTGGTAAAGAAATATAAAAGATCGCAGGCAGTGGATTTGCATAGTTAGTGATAGCATACATGCAACTCAACTATCAACGGTTTAGTGACTCTTCACTGGAGAAAATCAGACTTTACCAAAGGACATTTAAAACTGATAGATATTATCCCAGCTAACCTGAAGACATCCTGATAATACAGAAGTGTTGTGGTCATAGTATTTATGATCAGTCACAAGTACATCACAGATCCAATCACAAGTAAATCACAAGTCGGATCATGAGTTCGGTCACAAGTGACTAGTATCAAGTAATGCCTTTGTAACAGTCCTTTAGGAAAGTTGGTTGTCAGACTTTACAACAGTTCCAGGCATGCAACTTTTCCTCAGATCTGCTGATTTTCACGCTTTTTACTTCTCATGAATACCATTACAAATTGAAAAACACTGCACAAAGTCTGGTGTGGTTTGGGATTTCCTTGTGTTTTCAAAATTCCAAGTTGCACGCCTGAAGGTCTATCACAGGTGGGCTTGACCCTAGACAACTTCTGCCAAGCTGCCATCGAGTGCAAGGATTTTCTGACGAATTCAAAATCGTCCTGCTAAACTTTGTATTCAAGGGAAAAAACTCTTAATTTTTCTACTGCAGTATAACTAATGAATGAATGAACGACTTGGGATTGGTCGACTTGTGATCGATTGTGATGGTCTTGTGATGTCTTGCGACTTGTCACAAGTACCTTACGTACAACACTGTAATAAAGACATGGAGGTCTTAGTCCACATTGAGAGACGAATGGAAAATTGTCTGAAGCTCGTTCCCGAACAGGAGCACGTCATATCCAAACGCCCCTTTTGAAACAAAGTTGTCTGTCCGTTTTAACTCTCATGTCATCATATGTACCTTTCTACTAACTTGCTTGTACTCTTTTAAGATCTGAAGAAACAATTATTCAGCATGGTGTGTGGCAATTAATTCTGTTGTACATGTTTACACATTTAGATCCTAACTCATGTCTGTTTGTTTGAACGAGTGAGAACGAGTGAATAATGAAATTAAAACACTGTAGCCTCAATGTTTAAGTTGTCTTGTCTGATGGGGCATGTTCTAACAAAGTTAGTTATTTAAAAATCATGACCAGCATGGTGTTTATTCAGGAAAATTCATTGATGCCGTAATTGTTTCCTTCTATACAAAGAGTGATTCAGTTTAAATCTGACTCTTGCATGGATGTGTTCATTCATAACCAACACTTAAATTCATTTTAAAATGATTTTTGAAGTCCTCTGTTTTGAGGAAATCAAACTTATGATTGAACAGGAGAACAAAATGAAGGAAAGGACAAAAATAGGACAAGCAAAGAAAACGTTCCACCATTGTGATGTTGCACTAAACAAAATGAAAGAAAAAAAGTTTTATAGAAGACAAAATGGTCTATCATTGTTATTTTGCAAAACAAATCCCTGAACATAATAAGCCTCTGTGCTAATGACGTCTTACTTTGTTTACATGTGCACTTTCCTATGGAGCCAGTGGGGGCCCACGGTCCACTGAGCACCATAGGAAAGCACACACGTAAACAAAGTGTGATGTCATCAGTACAGAGGCTTATTTCAGCACTGGCATTAACCAAACTTGGAAAAAAAATCTGTAAAAAGGAGTAATGTTTCCTGAGGAGAAATGAGAAAGAAAAAAAAAATGAAGGGGACGAAATCTGAACTCTCCAGACAAGACAACTAACATAGGCTACAAGTTTGCTTGAGATTTCTGAAATATACGGTGCACTAATTGTACGGACTGAATGCATGGTTTGCCATTATAGCACTAAACAATGCCTCGTTGCGGCGGCATTGGGTTCACCGGGTTCAACCATCCGAGTTTTCATGCCCCTCAGCTCTCTGTTGATTAACTCATTCCCTTCCCAACCCACTGAATTGCCTAATGTGTTGGTAGGACTACAAAATATAAATTGGACCAAATTTCAGTAGTCCAGTTTTGTCTTGTATGCCTATTAACATTCAAGCGCAGTGTATAGTTTCTGAAGCAGATTTCCACTGAAATATTGAAAAAGAGTTAAAATCTGTAGTTTTAATACCCATACAGCCATTTGCATTGTAAATGGAGCACTTACATGGACATTGTTCTTGGCTTATTAAGGCTGGTGGACTCTAGGCTAACAAAACTTTAAGTTATATTTTGTCAGGAAAACAAAATGAGATTTGAAAGTTTTCATGGTGAAGATAGCAATAAGATAAAGATGTACGGTAGCACTATGTGACAAATCTCTTTGGTGAGTTTGTGAGATTTGGAAAGAACCAGGGAAAATCAAAGTTTTGGACAGTATCCGCTCCGTTCACAAGTACCCCCTCACCGGCAAAGAGAGTACAGTTGGGGATGACCGACCGACGCCATCTTGCCTGACTGCAATTCATTTGCCGCGAAGCGCGGTCACTGCGTGTACATAGCACAAATCCCCTGGTGTACGTGCGTCACACACAAGGAACGGTGTGCGTCAACCAGCGAAATGTCCTGCCCATGGGACGTCGTTGCTATGTAAAAGGGCGCCCTCTTTTGTCGGCGAACGGAGCTCATGCTCTGCCCGTTGTCAGGAGACAGCTTCTGATGGGCAGAGTACTCCCTCCAAAACTTTGAGTTCCCTCTGTTCTTTTCAGGACCTCACAAACTCACAACAGAGATTTGTTAAATGGTGCAACCGTAGACTTTTTCTTATAAAGGCCGCGTGCGAGTTATTGACTGCGGCTGGAAATTACACACGAGTCTATGGTAGTGGCTGCAGCCATTTCCCATAGACTTGTGTGTCATTTCTAGCCGTAGCCAAGTAATTGGTTCACGGCTTAAACAAAATTGTGGTTAAGTCTCATATGTAATGATATACATACTAAACTACCTTGGTGTGGGAGCTTCTTTTTGGGGAAAAAAAAAGCCAAGGATAAAAGACAAACAAAAAAACACCCCCCCCCCCCCACCCCCCCCAAAAATAATAATAATATAGAACCCAAATTGATGCAAGGGCCAACAAAGTGTGAGCTACATGTAGTAGTTCCTCCCTGGATACCTGACAGGCATGCAACTTTTCCTCAGATCCACTGATATCCTCATTTTTTTTTTACTTCTCGTGAATGCCATTACAAATTTAAAAACACTGTACAAAGTCTTGTGTGGTTAGAAATTTCCTCGTTTTTTTCCTAAATTCTCAGTTGCATGCCATACCAGTTTCATCTTTATAAATTATTTTTATGGTTCAGTGTTGCCATTGAGTCCTTTTCTAGGTTCCCAGGTACAAGTATATTGAAATATAAGATTGTAGGAGTCAAACAGACCATTGCAATTTATGGTCCAGAAAGTTTTTTGTATTCGTTCAAAGAGAATATCTCGAGGTCACACATTATAAAGACCCTTAGTCAGATTATCCTTCACTGAAAGCATAAAGCTACAAGAGATTCACGTGTAGCGTCTGTGCTATTCGGAATAAGCCAGTGAAATTTAATTGAGTAGTCACTGTAGTGTTTTATTGTAGTCACAAATGGTTGATTTTATGGCTGAAATGGACAGGCCGAGTTTTTTGGCTGAAGAGTCTATCACTGGCCCAAGGACTGTGATATACAGATAAAAATGAGCAAAAATTCATGGGAATTTGCTCCTTGTATTCATCACAAAATGGATACAGGCAAAGCTTGTTCATATATAAAACTCCACTTTTGCACTGCGAGCACTTGACCACAGTTTGTGTGAATTTTGCAACTTTCATATCAAGTGAATGCCTGTATTAAAACTCGCACTGTCACTGCACTCCCAGGAATTTCCCCTTCCCTGTTATTAAACTGCATGTTAACATGCTGTATATCTGTGGAGTATTGTTCTTCCCAGCCAAATCGAACAATAATATTCATTGAATATATAAATAGAATTGAGGGAATTTGTACAAAATCAGTAACACAAGTCGCACACTATAACATGAGTCATCTTATCCTATAACAAGATATGTCTCGCAGCAGTTGGCTTTGACTATTTGATGATGGGACGATGCATGACCGAAAATATGTTTGTTTCACCCGAAATATTGTTACAAGTATTTATTGCTGCAACCATTTTCGTCAGGTGGAATCGACGAGCCATGCCAAGTCAAAGACGATGGTGACGGCATCTTCACTTGCTCCTACAAGCCCTACAAACCCGGCCGCTACATCATCCAAGCCATGTACGGCAAGAAGGAGATCAACAAGGCCCCCTTCACCGTCAACATCTCCCCCGAGGCCACGGGACAGCTGGCCCTGGTGCGCGCCTTCGGGCCAGGACTCGAGGGCGGCGTTGTGGGCAAGCCGTGCAATTTCACCGTGGAGACCAACGGCGCCGTTGGTGCTTTAGGTATGGGGTCACAGCTCATTCATTGTTGGTGAAGTAAACAAACAGGACAGGTATTGTGGGGAAGGACCAAGTGCTTGAGGTCTGTCCCCTACCCCCACCCCCATCCCGACCGCCAGGCAACTGAAACACTTCTGCACATTTTGCATGTTTGATTTTTGTCAACACTTTTAAACCATTCATGTTTCAAGAAAGATGGAGTGTCATGGCCTAGCGGTTAAGAGCACCGGACTCATGCTCTGGTGTTTCGGAGGCACCAGTGGTGTGGGTTCCAGTCCAGGTTTTGACACTTGTGCCCTTAAGCAAGGCACTTAACCATTATTGCTTCGTCCTTCGGATGGGACGTCAAGCCAGAGGTCATGTGTGTTGTGTAATGCAATGCAATGCACGTAGAAGAACCCAGTAACACTTATCGCTAAGAGAAGGGTTTGCCCCGGTGTTTCTGGCCTCCTGGTTATACTCCCCTGTGGAGTCCTTAAAACCAACCAAGACCAAGAGATGTATATACGTGCAGAATAGAACCTGTTTGCTGAAATTTTGCATTATGTGACTACAACATCCAATTTGTAAACAACTGGCACATCATCGATAGAAAGACTTTTTTAGACAAATATATACCAAAGATAGACTTTGTGCTGCTCTAATCTGAGGATCAGACATTCACATGGCCGTGGGTAGACCATGGTTGAACGTCTAATATATCGTAACATGTAAATTTTATGTGACCAGCCAATCGGAGTGGTATGTAGAGACTCTGATGTCATTACGATCAGTAAAATGGACTGAACTGTTGATTGGTCAATTTGGATGCCATGTTTTTGTAATTCAGGTTACGGAAGACCCTGGTTGAAGGCGTTACATGTATCTGAATGGTCAGAATCTCAAGGTCAAGACGCAGTCTTGTTTTGCATAATTAATCGCCGAAGCTGTGCGCATATCATAAACCCTTGCTGTGCGAGGGGATATTCCATAGACTAGTGTTGTTCTGGGGCTCCACCAAATATTTTATTCAATTTTTTTTAAATATTTTTCCCCCAAACTCACCCCTGAACTTTTTTTGCAGGTTTCTCCATTGAGGGCCCATCTGAAGCTAAGATCAACTGCAAGGATAACGGCGACGGCTCCTGTGAGGTGTCCTATTACCCCACCATGATAGGCGAATACGCCATCCACATCACGTGTGATGAGGAAGACATCGTGCTCAGCCCATACATCGCCCAGATCATACCAGACAAGGGTAACTTTGATGCCTCCAAGGTACTGACACTGATATTAAGCTTTGTATCTATTTCGTTCCAGTATCAACAATTTACAAAAAAAATCCATGGCAGATTTCTCCAATGGGTTGCACATTATAAGTCATCTTTTGTGAAGGTCTTGGTATGGTACCATCCGCAATGTAGACAGTAGACTTGATCTCATAACACACGTGTAAATGAGAACAAGCAACTTGCTCATGCTGATATCTTATATTGGTCGCTATTGGTTTTGTCTGTGATACTCCCATTTAGTTAGATTGGCCTACGTCTCCTGTAAACTCATGTGTCGTGCTTATCACAGCACCCTATTGGTACACGTCTAGATATTGTAATCAGGTTGGGCCTTACATTAGGTCGATCTTACAATTGACACAGATCATAGGTCGATCTGACAATTGACACGCTGGCCACTGTCAGACAGAAAATTGCTTTCCACTGGTGTTGTAGTATTATATACAAATATTGAGTGGCTCAGCGTGGAATGGGAGGAATATTATTGCAAGGTAAAGTCTGGACTTTTCCATTTCAGGAGGCGAAGCCGAATGACCTGGAAAAGTCCAGATTTTACCGAGCGATAATATTCCTCCCATTTCACAATTTAAAGCTACTCAATATTTGTTTTATATAACTGACATATAGATCCTTGTCATTTGATATATTTGAACTTTTATTTCAATAAAAACTGGAGGAAAATGTATTTCTCTCTTCCAAACTACCCCTTCACGAAAATGTTTGAACCCCACTCTGTAGCGCTGGCTCTTTGGAGCAAAACGCACCACGCGCAACGCTGAACGCGCACACCAGCATGCATTTTCACACAAATATTGCGTCCTGGAACAAGAATAATCCTAACTGTTCAATAGTATTTCCAATTCCCCATGGGCGAATAGTACTTTTTTGAGCCGCGGCGTGAATGGGAGCAATAACGAATGTCACGTGAGGTGAGTTCCACCAATCAAATGACAAGGATCTGTATGTCGGTTATATAATCAAGTCTATCACACGTCCCTGCAAGTCGCTGCAAGTCTATCACAAGTCCATCGCAAGTCATTCAGTCTCAAGTCAAGTCAGTAGCTATTCAAAATGACCTGTGACTATTACTTTGTCATTGTTCATACATGTACTGTAACTTATGTTTGACTTTATGAAAGGACTTGTGACTGGACTTGTGAAAGGGCTTATGAAAGGGACTTGTGATGGACTTGACTACAGCACTGCTTGCCGCAGTCAGCAATTTTGAGTTTTGTGTTTAGACTACCTGCAACTGACTTTTGATCGCCATTGTTGCATAATAGGGAGTCTAGGAGCTGATCTCCGGGTACTACTTCCCTGGTAACTACCATCCAGTTGAGTGATAGCATAGCATGTTTGGGATAGCTACTGTTATTTCCCTGCTTGTTAAATCACCATTTCATGTGTTTATTTCATCTGGCACACCACGGGCAGTCTGCATTTCACAGTAAAATGTATAGATATGGATTTGGTGAGTAACTGCACAAATGGTGATATAAACAGCTGGTTTTTCCAAGCACCCGTGCTGTTTCTAATGGTCCCTATTGACCAATGAAAAACTGCATTTGGTTTATGAATATGTATGAGGTGTAATAATCTAAGTTTGTACACACTGTGCTTGACCCATCAGGTGAAGGCCTACGGACCCGGCTTGGTCAAGGATGGCCTGGAACTCAACAAGCGCACCGAGTTCACCATCGATGCCAAGGCCCCAGGCTGTGGCCAGGCCCCCGTGGGTGTACTCATCCACGACCAGCAGGGCAACAAGATCAAACCGGACATCAAGGATAACAAGAACGGGACGTTCACGGTGTCGTACACCCCCACCCGACCCCTGAAGCACAACGTCGCTGTTACCTGGGGAGAAGTCAGCATACCCGAGAGTCCATTTAAGGTGAGAAAAATAATGCCCTGGACTGTCATCTTTGTACTCGCGGACTGACAAACTGTGAATTACGACTTGGGCTGGTTGTTGGCTTATGAAGAGAGCAGGTGTAACGATTTCAGTTTTAAGGCGGTATGCTGATCTTCCGGACGAATACCATGAATAATCAAGCACGTCACCGTCACAGGTTCAGTTCATCGCGAAGGCTGGACTTTCCAGTAAAGCTTAATGGGCATGTGGGACGCATTTCTGCCGTGATGTGAAGGGGAGGGGTGAAAAATACTGAGACAATTTCCAATACACAGGACCATAAGGGGGGCTTGAACCTTAAGGGGCCCTGGGTGCACAGTATTTGGTAAAGGGAAAGCTGCACATCATGGACATGTATTGGCAACATCACCGTAGCCTTCATGTACAGTACATGTACATGAAACGGGATACGGTCGCCCGCAATGTTTGCACAAGCCACGGGTGATCCTTCACAGACTTAGCTCACAGAAAGCTGGCAATAGTAAACATCACTGCGCAACTTCGCGCATGCGTATTTTACCGAAATTTGCCTCTTGGAGAGATCAGCATACCGGGTCAACTGAGACAGTTATCAGTACTGTTGTATAGGATTACCCTATTTTAGGCCCAATCTGGCCCATTTTGTACACCAGATGCATGAAAAGATTTCTAGTAAATAGCTTTTCTGGAATTTTGTGCACTCTTGGACCAGTGTCAATATGCTTGTTTTTTTTTTTTCTGAATTAGGAATTCATATCACAAAATTCACATCTGTAAAACAAATTCACGGTAATAAAATTTGGTTGTTTATAGAAAGTGGTTTTCTAAAATACATGTGCAATTCAAGCACAGTTTTTGAGGGCCAAACAATTTCTGAGCCCTTTCAAAAAAAAATGTATGTCCATAATTTCCCTAATGTTTCCAAAATGTCCTTAAAGGTTGGTTCATACTTGATGCGAATACGAATTCGATGCGAATTTGACGTCACGAAGCATTCGCTGCGAAATTAGCCGGAGTTGAAATGTGTTCAACTTCTGCGATTTTGCAACGCGAAAATGCACCCTGACGTCACAAATTCGCTTTGGCGTTCACTTTCGCCCGTAGTATGAACCAGCCTCAAGACTCATTGAAAAGTACTTGGCAGGGATCAGTTAATGCTCAATTTTGTGACAATCTTTGAATCTCTTCAGATCAACATCGGCGGCGGGCTGAGCAAGGTCAAAGTGTACGGTCCCGGAGTGGAGCCCAACAAGGTCAAGTCCAGCCAGCCCACCCAGTTCACTGTGGACTGCCAAGAGGCTGGCAAAGGTTAGAGTTCATGACATTTGCTGTTTCTTTACAGTTGAATTTTGCACCCATGTTTACAACCGTCGTGCAACGACATAAACTGCTCCCAGAAAGGCTTTGCTTCCATCAACCTTCGGTGTCAGACGTTCAGAATTGTGCAACCAAAGACAAAACCGGCCTTCAGTTTGCCATACATTACAGAGGAATCTCTAATGATGGATCACACCTCACGCAATAGAACTAAGCTTAGTCTTTTTTTTAATATACCGAATGTCAATCGCCTAGAGTGGCTTCCGTCATTGCTGGTGTACGATTCAAAAACACCAATGAGGAACATTTTACGTAGATGATGAATAGCTCATTTGAGGTTCATATTCAACCAAGTGTTATGGGTTTTTGGTCTCATAGACTCTTTGGACACTCAGAATCCCCAGTTATATGCTTGAACTACTCATTTTGCACTTGATACATTTCTGGTGGATTCTGAGTACATATGTTTTCATTTACATAAAAACACCTAAAGAGGAGTGCAGCAGTTTTCGTATCAAATTAGACCCATCAAATCAGAAGATTATTACTGATCAAAATCTGAAAACTTTTACAGGTTTGTTCTGTAGATAAATCTGAACGATTCCTTAATGCTGCTTGGTTTTCTTACTGCAAATCAATAGCCCCTGTTGCTGTCAGTGTCAAGTCAGTCCCGGGTGTCAACGGTCCTAAGGAGAAGGAGATTCCATGCAAGGTCCAGGACAACGGCAACAACACCTTCACTGTCAACTACGCACCTGAGGCCCCAGGCGACTACAACGTCGGGGTCAAGTTTGGTGGCAAGGACATCCCTCAGAGCCCAATCCCTGTCAAGGTCATCCCCAACATAGATGTCAGTAAGATCAAGGTCAAGAACCTGGAGCCAAGTAAGTTGAAGGGCCTTCCTCGCATGGTAGAGCTAGGATCGTTTTTTTTTCTAGTGCAAGTTGGTGGCTTTAGTAAAAGTAATCTTGATATTTGAGTAGTATTTGTAGGTCTGCCTCTGCATTGTGTGACATAAAGTGACACAAGTGGATTGAAAAAAAGGTTTAAAATAAATGCAATTTGAAATATGTTGTTTTATCGGTAAATTGTACTTGAAAAAACACTGGTCTTTTGGCTCATTTTGACCATCCTATTTGACTTTCAGTATGTTTATGTACATTATAATTTGACTCTCAATATGTCCTGTACATTATAAACAGCCAAAAAGGAAATTCCACACTCATTGGAGGGTCATAAGTTTGAATCCGATCATCTCATGATGTCGTCATTTATATAGACCTTTGGGGAATGTTGTTAGCTATATTTTGATACCCCGTTTGCTACCAAAGACTGTAAATAGTTCAAGATTGACAACGCTTTATGAAAAAATGATGCCGTTTGAAAAGTTGCAAATTCAAAGATTTCGCGAAGAGAAAGTACAAAGCGTAACCACGTAGGCCTGTAATTGGCACCTGTCGACTGCACAGTGCCCGAACAAAGCACTGGCAATTCAATTTACGTGCCAGCCTCCCATGCATGCAAGCACTGTGCGATCGGTATTCCCTGCCGCTCGTTTCAGTTAGTGACATTGTCACGCAGCAATTTCCACTCGCTAATTGCAACTTTTCAAACTGGATCATTTTTTATAAAACGTTGTCAATGTTGGACGACTTTGGTAGCAAACGGGGTATCAAAATGTAGCTATAAACAAAATTCCCCAAAGGTCTAGAAAAAAAATAACGTTTATTAAAGGCGATCAGATTAAAAAATATGACCCCTCCAGTGACTGTGGACTTTCTCTTTTTTGTGGTGTTCATGTCAAAGATCGCTGTACAGTACTGACAACCGTCAGTTTAAGCAACTACTACATGTATATCAAACATCCTGGCAGCTTATGAGCAGCAGTAGGACACAAGTTTAACTGTTACTCATTTTTTAGTTGCACGCCACCAAAGTAGGAAGTATAGAATGCTCGGGGAATTGTAGTTGGCGTTCCCTGCACCACCAGCATGCTGCATGTAGATGATAATCATTGTAGTGTCCAAAGATATTGTGGTTAACGTAAATTTCACTTATTGAAGAAGGAGTATACATTCAAAGACTATGAACTTTGAATATTACATCCGGACACCAATTACTAAAGCATTTAGCCATCCCACCAAAATGTCATCCTAATTTTGACAGGTCCTATGAGAAGCTAAAGTATAGATTCCACTTTCGAATTGAACATGACATTTCACATGCAAACCATACTGCATTTCTACCCACATTCTTCCGTTATTCATTGACCAAAATCACCGTGTCGAAAATCTGAGATGTTTGTTTTACAGCAGATGACATTTGTGGATTCATGAGAAGTTTGGATTTAAGAGCTCTGTTTCATGTTTTCATGGTCACTGGTTTATTCTTGTGGTCTGTCAGATGTTGTACTAGGGAAACCGTACACTATAGAGGTGGATGTGAGTGAAGCAGGTATCACCGAGCTCGCTGTCAAGCTGAAGAAACCCTCTGGGGAGGAGCTTGAAGCTCTGGTCACACCAGTCAATGAGACTTGTACCCAGGTGACCTTCACGCCCGAGGAGGAAGGTCCTCACGAGCTGACGATGACTTACGGCGGGTTTGATGTCGGACAAGAGGCGGTTATTGTGATCAACGTTGTGGTCAAGACAGATCCATCTCAATGCTCTGCGTCCGGTCCAGGCTTGTCACGCGGTCACGTTAATAAACCTGCAGAGTTCATGATTGATGTCTCGAATGCCGGTCATGGTGGTTTGAGCGTCACCGTGGAGGGTCCTAGGGAGACGGAGATTGAGTGCAGCGACAACGGCGATGGCACGTGCTCCGTCTTCTACGTCCCTGCCAAAATCGGCAGCTACACTGTCAACGTCTTGTTTGCCGACCAGCACATCCCAGGCTCCCCGTTCAACGTCCTGGTCATCGATTCCACCGAGGTGGATTCCTGGGGCCCCGGTTTGGTCAAGGGGTACGCCGACATGGCCTGTCTGTTTTCAGTTGACTGCAGCACGGCCGGTAAAGCTCCAGAGGAAGAGGGGAAGCTGCCTGTGGAATGCTCGGCCATCGGTCCCGACGGCGAAGACTTGGATACCAAGGTAGAGCGCGACCCGCTGAACGAAGATCTCTACCATCTGACCTACTATCCCCTACAGGAAGGCCGCCACACCTTGCATGTCACCTACGGTCGCTACTCCATCCCAAATTTCTCCCGTAGGGCCGATATCGGAAAGCCCATCGACCTGAGCGGGGTCACGCTGAAGGGAACCGGCATTGATGATGACAAGGGTAAATTGGAATCATACACTGGTCACACGGTACTTGTGCTTTAACATCACGCAATCACGTGCAGTCATTATCACTGTTTTCACCAAGGTGGCGGGATATTATTTCTGGTGTCCCAGTTTTTCCCAACAACATGATGTACAATAAACTGTCCTTTAAATAAAACTTAACAAGTTTGTGGTACCGGGGTATATTAATCTCCGCAGGTGAGCATCAGCTAGACTTGAAATATTGATCTTCTCAAATCCTATACATTTTAATTAATGTCTGGTTGTTTTACTAATCTTCCCATCAGAAAATTCTGACGTAATGTACACACACATAAATACGTACTCTTGGATATGCCTTTTCAAAATATGTTTGTTTTTCCAATTTCTGAACATAAATAAAGAGGATCCCCTTAGCCGTCCTTCTGTTTGAACAGTAACAGACAGTCAAAAATTCCATCCACTTCCCCTGTCATGCCTTTTGCACAGGCTAGTCACCAACAGTCAGATAATATTTAAGCAAGCACTCTGACTAGTCAAATTCAGTCAACAGACAAAAGCAGGCAACTGGTTTGCACAGCTGTCTTACCAATCACCTACAGTCAAAGCATAGCTATATCAAGTTACCTAAATAGTCTCAGCCACTCAATCCTACTTTATGTAGGCTAGGAGCTCTTAGCTGTTGAAAACAGTCACTTGATTGATTTTGGCTGCAAGGACAACTTGGCACAGAACCATAGGAGGGTTAATGATAGCACGTTTGTTTTCTGGGATACAATGTATGTGGCACAAAACCTTCTCAGTTCACTAATGTTACATGTGTACATTGTTGTGCTGATTGTTCCATAAGCTGTCATTCACAGTGCCAGACTTTACTCATTATTTTTTTAGAGAACAGTATTTTTTTGCATATAAAAACTGACTTATACCATGTATACATGTACATCAAATTCTCTATTGGATATACCGGTACATGTATATTTCCAACTCTTACATGTATTTACTTACTTTAAACACTGACCAAGAAGTGAAAAAAGGATTTGAATTAATGCATTCAACATGATTATATAAGCAGGCAGTTTACATGAAAATTGATGCTATTGTCATTTAAACCTTACCATGCATATTCACAATCAGTCCTGCTTGACTATTCACTGCAAATTTCAATTTTCACAGAACTTTTCACTCCACAATTGAATTCTTCTCCTTTTCACTCCCCCTCCCTTTTCCCCAAAAAATGTACTGCTTTCACTTTTTCTAACTCCGTTTCAGCTCTAGATTCTATCCAGTGTAATGCTCCTTCTCACATGTGTTTCAAGTTAACCCTGTGATTTTTCAATTGCTATTATCAATAGACCCCTCTCATAGACAGCCATCTTCCTAGGATTGTAAAACTGTTTGTTCAATGCCATCAGGTGCGAGTGCGCGCAGTGTGCAAAATGTTCTGAACACGCGCGCATGTTGCTCGAAATTTCTTTGAGATACGGCGCAGCCGACGCCCAAAATGCCGATGCACGTGACAATCTGTAGGAAGTGACGTCATTTGAGAGAGACCTATATCATGGTTTGTGTTTGAAACTTACACCTCTATAAAACTAACAATTCAAAGGTATTGTGCTTATCTGTTGATTTATAAATGGAGAGAACTTGTTTGCTTATAGTATATTTCATTTTTTTTTCCAATGAAGGGATTAGGTTTCAAATTTCTAAAACATTTAAATTCTTTATTTCCTATTAACCAGTTACAGGTAATGTATCTAACCTCTATGAAAGCTGTTTTGCACCCAATGTAGATTATTTTTCTGCAGACTTTTCAAAATTTAAAAAAAGGTGACGGTATTTTCCTTTCTCCATACCCGTACCTCGTGTAGAGAGAAGTTACATGTACATGGAGAGAAAAATAACTGATACTCACTGAGGTATTAAGGTGCCTGAAGTGGTTCTTTAAACAATCGTTGTAAACTAATACTCATTATAATCTTCATAAATCCCGTTTTATTGTGTTGATACTGAAAACCAAAAATCAAGAATTATTAGTATTATTATTATTAATCATTTCTGGTAATGAAACCAAGGATTCCTCAAAAGCACCATGGACACTGTTGCTGACAAGCCCGAAGAAACCTGTAGAGAGGAGACAATGAGAAGAAATTAGTTTTAGAGGTGGGAGGAAAACCCCAGAATATTCCAGGGAAAACCCACGGAATCAGGCAGGGACTGAAAACCCAATCCACATATTGGCCCGGGCGGGATTCGAACCTGGGTCACAGTGGTGGAAGGCGAGAAAAATGCCATTGTGCCAACTCGACGTCAACCGTAATATATGTGTTAAAAGTGAAAGTGAAGGTAGAAAACATAATCAAAGAAGCCTGACCAAGAATCTGAGTTTGAAGTTGACATATTGTATTAGAAAATTGGTGAGTAAATTTCCCCTAGAATTGGTGGCACTATAACATTTGTAGTGGAAATTCAAAGAACATGAACTTGTGCACAATTGCTTTCTGCTCATTCTTCACTGCCTACTCTTACAGCACAGTTCTCTCAGTTTGATTGTCAGCCAATTTTGGGTCTTTCAAATGTAAACAAGTGTGATGTTGTAGTCAAGTCCATCACAAGTTCTTTCACAAATCCATTCACAAGGAACAGGAGCTGAACAGCAACTAAAGAGTGCCATTGTCACAATCCATTGGAATTGCTTATAAATAAGCCTCTGTACTGATGACGTCACACTTTGTTTACACGTGTGCTTCTTATGGGAACCTGGTGGGGACGACTGTTTCGTAACCGCACAGAGAAGCGAATCAGTACAGAGGCTTGTAGACCTTTATCATGCTGCCACCATTTCAGTCATGTTCCCTGTATCCAATAACAGTACTGAACGATAATGTTTTTTTTGTGCAAAAAAGGAACCAGACTATTTTTCCTTCCAGCCTCGCTTTGGTTACGTTGATTTGAATGGGAAAAAATCAAGATGGCCGCAACATGATAATGGTCTATTGATTCATGACTTAATGGACTTGTGATGACTTGTGATGGACTTGTAAGAACAGCATTAGGTATAAATGATCTAGCACCCTGACTTTGCATTTTGTTAATGCGTTCTTTTTCTGTTGTGTACAGTTGTGTTCTGTGACTGTGCCGCTGAGTTCCAGGTGGATGCCAAGCCGGTCAACCAGCCGTTGGATAAGGACCTCCTGAAGCCGGACATCACTGCCCCTTCTGGCGAGAAGGTGAAACCCGTCATCAAGGACAACAAGGACAACACCTACGATGTCAGCTACACCCCAACAGAAAAGGGTAAGATTATCGCTCCGAACGGCAAATTATATATCTCCTTTCAGGTTGGAAGGGTTTTAATTTTGAAAATAGTTTGACATGACCTTGTCATTTGAGAAACGCTTCATTGCAAATATGGCAGTCCAACCTCTCTTAAAACTGAGTGAACTGTTTGAACAGCTTTGCATAAGTTGTCAAAACATCTCCCCCATGAAATTCTTTCACCACTAGCATCTCTTTACACTACTAAAAACATTTCATAGTGAGAAACTTTCATCAGGAAATGGATTGGTTCCCACCTCCCTAAGCTAAATTACCATCATTACAGGTTTTTGAGACTTGACTTGGGTATATTTGCAAATGGTGGATCTGTGTCTAGCCTGTTGTGTTGCTGCTCATGTCATTGAACAAGCTTCAAGACACTTTGTCTGTGAATGTTTTTCCAAACCCTGAAAAGAAAAGGGGTACTTTTAAACTAAAGGAAGAGATATTGTATGTGAATAAGCTTCAGGCATCAAAATGGCAGCTTTGAGCTGGTGCAACAAAATAAAATGCGCGCCGTGGCCTCGTGGTCTGGAGCATTGAATTCGTGGTCTGCGGGTAATTCTGTAGGTTGTGGGTTCCAGTCCAGCCTGCTGCTATGGTGCGTGTGCCCTTGGGCAAGGCACATTGTCACTCATTGCTTCTCCCCACCCAGGAGTAAATGGGTACCTGTGAGGGCAGAGATGGTTATTGTGGTTGATTTAAGCTGCTTTGCATCAAAATTGCAGCATTGAGCTGTATACTCCCTAGGGAGCTGAGATGGTATTTGGAATGTTTCATTGGCCAATGAGCAGGGTAATAATGAAGCGCTTTGAAACTTTATAGGTATAAAGCGATATGCACCACATCTTATTGTTATTATAACATACTTTTCTTTTAGTATTAAAAGTACTAAGCAAGTACCTATTTTTATCATAATTGCAGGTGATCACGTAGTCGATGTCAGCTTTGCGGGTCAGCCCCTGGGCCAGTCCCCCTACCATGTCGGCGCCATGCCCGGCCACGACGCCTCGCGCTGCAAGGCCTACGGCCCCGGCCTCGAGAACGCCGTCACCAACAAACCAGCCGTCTTCACCGTGGAGACCAAAGGCGCCGGCAAGGGCGGTCTGGGCCTGGCCATTGAGGGACCCTCGGAGGCTGCCATGGAGTGCACCGATAACAAAGATGGAAGCTGCACTGTGCAGTACCTGCCCACCGTGCCTGGGGACTACGAGGTTCACATCACCTTCGCTGATGATCCTATCCCAGGTATGGTTAGAACTGAACCTATTAGAGCCTCTACTGCGTTGTATTAATGCACTGTCAGTGCGACAGTTCTGGATCACTTTTTATACAAACCGCTGTACACCCGTCAATGGTCAGAGTTTCTGTGTCCAAGGGACATTATTTCGTAGTAAAATTTCTCCTCTTTTAAGTTAAAACCAAATGTGGTCACACAGACTCAACTTAATGGGAAAAACATCATGGCTTTTGTACAGGACTGAACCTGACAGTTGAGGATCACTTTTGACAGTTGCGGATAACGCACGCTGTGCTACCTGGTACATACAGTAATGTTTTACTATACTCTCGAGGACAATGCTTTGTGTTTTCCTTTGTCCCTGTAATATAACACTCTCCCATAGACTAAGCACTCAAAGATACTACAGAGGACCGTTTCCAACAAAAGACCCAACTCCCGAGGACTGAAAGGATCTGTTGTTCTCCCTTTGTGTGTCGGTCCGTTATGTAGAACACGTTTATGTACAAATTCATCATTCAAAGGACTCAGATGCAACACTATCTTAATCATAGAGGAAGTTCTAACAAGAATTTTGTTGTGTTTTGCCCTTCACAGACCTCATTTACTTCTTACTGACACAGTAATTCCATCATAAAGTGATGCAGTCAAGAACTATGATTAACCATAGCTTGACAGATTCTGATCAAACATGCACTAGGCAAGGATAGTTGGACATGCCTAGGTGTCTATTTGGGGCAAGCCTACTGAGACCTTTAAGCCTCCTCCATACCCTGTGATATGCCCTTATAGAATAGCAGAGCATTTTCTGTAAGCAGAGCTATTCAATGAAGATTTAATAGACCTGGGATGTAATAACGTCATGTTTTGTTAACATTTATGCTTTCTTTTGAGTGCCTGGTAGGGATGAGGAGGTCATCCCAACTGGCTCCTATAAGAAAGCTCACTTGAAAACATTGACATCTCCGGTGTATTTTATCCTTAACTGATCACAACTCTAATTTACCACCACTCCTTTTACTCACACATGCAATTGTACCCCTCTTGGTTTGTAATGATAGGCAGCCCGTTCAGACCAGTAGTAACTGATCACATTGATGCCAGCAAAGTCACAGCCACCGGACCCGGATTGGACAAGAATGGAGTCCGTGCCAACACCCCAACAGGCTTCAAGGTTGACGCTACCAAGGCTGGTGGCAAGGCTCCCCTGGATGTCACCATCATGCCTGAGAGAGGTGAGTTGCTGCCATGGGCGTCAATCCTGGGGGGGGGACAGGGGGACATGTCCCCCCCCCCCACTTTTTGAAGGGTGGGGGACACAATATCAAATGTCCCCCCCCCCCCCCAGATTTTTGAACTTGTGTCTCATTTATAGGGCCCTATTATGTACTTCAATGTATCTTTTGCTTAGAAAATATTGGTTAAAGTGGCCAGAAATTGCCTCAGATAGCACCACAGAGCATTTAGAATTCAAATTTTTTCGGGGCCATTAAGCGGGCACCGAACCCCACACCTGTAGCTCAGAATTCTGGTAGCTGATTCAATGACTCCAACCTCAAAAACGATGTTCAAATAATTATCTTATGCCTTTAGCTGAGAAAACCTCGAAAATTATGTTTAATTTATTATTTTTTGCTAAGAAAATGATTGGTTAAAGTGGTAAGAAATTGCCCCAGATCACACCACAGAGCATCGTGAAAGCCAATTCAATGACTCTACTGAACCTCGACAACGATGTTCAAATAATTATCTTTTGCTACGAAAATATTAGTTAAGGCATGAAAAAAAGTGGTAAGAAATTGCTTCAGATCACACCACAGAGCATCTAGAATCCAATTTTTTCGGGGCCTTTAAGCGAGCCCCGAACCCCACACCGTAAGGGCTTCGCGCTTCGCGCTCACATCAGTTCTGATCAAGGTATGTCCCCCCCACTGTTGAGAAGCGATTGACGCCCCTGGTTGCTGCTGATGAATGGATGGGACCCTAAAACAATTCCCAACTATCTAACCTCCATTCCACCCCAACCTATACTTACCCCAACCCAATCCTACCCTCAGCCCAATCCTACCCTCAACCCAATCCCTACGCCCAACCCACCCTTACCCCAACCCATCCCTACTCCAGAACCACCACTAGCCCCAACTTGACCTGCTACAGTCGTATTTTTGTGGAGAGGGTACTTAAGGTTGAGGTATGGGATTTGGGTTTCTAATCTGCTCTTTTTGTAATGGAGATACTTAGTTTCTGGAACTAGTTTAAATGCTTTTTAAAGTTAATGCCTATTGCTGTGAGTGCTTTGATGTATTATTCTGTGTTCACTTACCATTGCAGCTCCAATAGAGAAGGCCAAAGTGGTGGACAACAAAGATGGCACCTACGACGTCACCTACGTGCCCAAAGCTGAAGGCAAAATGCAAGTGGACATTGAGTATGGAGGCAGGCAGATCCCACAGAGGTAGGTCTAGCAACTTGTGGATCTTGTCAATCAACATGTAGATGATGTCATATAAATCCCATACACAATACACAAATCCACCAACATACCTGAAGCCACCTTAATTTGGTTGCATGCATTGAGCAGATATTTTGAAGAAAAAAATCTGATATTGTTCTTCTGCCATTAATTGAGTGCTCAGTGAGTAGTGTTTAATCCAGTCCTTCTGCGAGTCGGAAGCGTGATTTTGGGCTTATAAAGACCGGTTCATACGCTCATACGTTCATACGTTCATTTGCGCTGCAAATTCGCATGAACACATTTTAACTGTGGTGAAATTATGCAGTGAACCTTTCCTGATACCAAATTTGATTCGCATTCGCCATCATGTCAAGTATGTATCAAACTTTTATCAATCAATCAGATGTTTATTCCCACATTTTCAGAACACGATACAAAGCAAAGTAAGAAATAATTTACCTAAATAAAATCAAATTTAGTTCAAGCTACCAAGATAAATAGCATGATAAATAATGAGCATGATATTTAGTTTCTCTCCGATATCTCTTTTTCCTTTGTAGCCCCATTCACTCCAAAGTTCTTCCCCAGTACGATGCTAGCAAAGTTAAGGTCAAGGGTCCTGGAGTGGAGAAAGGTGTACTGGCCAGCTTGCCTGTTGAGTTCACCGTAGACACCAAAGATGCTGGCGACGCTGACCTGGAAATCACCATCACTGTATGAAACTCTCACTCTTAACTCCTTAGTGTTCATGATATAAAATTAATGAACCAATCTCATTATTTAGTGTCAGGCACCAAGACCAATATATTCTTAAAGCTGTCTTCCGAATCTTGGCATTGCCCTAGACTTCATACTCCATATTGTGTAGGTTTTTTTGTCACTGACGTGGAAAACACAGGCTCAGTCTTGGGTCCCTTTTCTGCTACTGATGTCAACTTATAATTTGAAGCCAAATGTTGTTTCGCTTGATGTGAGCAATAATAACCCTTACAATTTTCTGCAACCAGAGAGGTTTGAGAATATTTTAGGAGTTTTCCAGAGGTTTGCAAAATCTTTATCCCGGAAACACCATCGCAAGCTTTCCTTGTCTATTTAACTGAGCTTGAGAAGTAGACTGTTGTTAATCATAAAATTCCCAAATACAGCTGACATGTTTTCTCTCTGGCTTCCACATGGAACCACATGTACCATAAACTAGGCCTCTTGTTGTAGAATGCGTAGCCTTTAGTCAGGGCGCGCATGTCTACCTGGACGCGTGGCGCCCCAGATTCTGGCACGAAAAAAGACCAGTGCAAGTGGTGAAGCCACGAGCGCCTTAACCATATCGTGGAGCTAATCACTTTTTTTTTTCAAGTAATATGAATCATGCATGTATGCGGATATAATTATATAAACCAATCACCACGAAAGCCGTTGTTGAGGTGATGATGCCACACGCGTTCTAAAAAACAAGACGCGCAAGCATTCACAACATGTCATGCATTATGCATGAAAATTTGTCTACCAAATCAGTTGACATTTGTAAAGAAAAACACAAGCACTCTCTACGAGATGATAAAGGCCCTCGCGGCTTCGCCACTCGTGCTAGTCTTTTTATGTGCCAGTATCCAGGGTGCGTCACGTCCGGGTAAGCGTGTGGGACTTGACTAAAGGCTATAGAAAGTGGTGTCCCTGATACAGAACAAAGACCAATATTGAGCCAGATTCCCTTCAAAAAAACCAGATGCATAAAATATCCAAAATTAATTGTTGTAAGCAGGTACATCACATGTCTGGTAATACATGTAACATTTTATGAACAGTGACAAACGAATGCACATTTCATGTGAATAACTTGTGACCTGTGAGTGAGAAAACTGTTTTCAATGTTTTGCGCCTCTCGCTCTTACAGGATAGCTCTGGCAAGCCCATTACCCCAGAGGTCATCGACAACAACGATGGTACCTTCAAGATCATCTACACCCCCAAGGACGTCGACCGTTACACCATCAAGGTCAAATACGGTGGGGAACCGGTGCCCAAGTCCCCCTGGACGGTGGCCACCAACCCCACCGGAGACGCCAGCAAGTGCGATATCATTGGTGAGTGCTGATTGGCCATGCCTGGTCACGTGTCAACCTATAAAGTAAGAATCACAGCCAATCAGAAGAAGCGTACTGTGATGGATTCAGGAAGGAAGAGCTCATCCAGTCAGATTTATTGTTACATGAATGTTTTTCCAATTTTCAAAACTGATTTTGAAAATTTGTATTGGAAATTCTTACATTGTATCGTTTATGATTAGAGTACAGTGATATACTACCATTACAATAATGACTGAATGAGCTCTTTGCTTAACCCATATATATGAGGCTTTCTGGCAAAAGAGACAGAACTGGGCAGAGGTTGAAATGAGGGTTTTCAGGTATTAGGAAAGAGAATATAATTCTCCTTACAATACAGTTTGTTGCACTTCAATTGGGCATTCCGTTGACTAGTTATGGCTGTTTAAAGTTTGCAATTTTAAACACGTCAACAAAGTAAAATACTGAGCAAAAGGCATTTAAAGTTTTAAATTTTGTAACTGTGAAACTGAAAGATGCCATTTTTTTTCCCTTACAAAATACCTGTATTCCATGATTTTTCTACTGTTTCTTTAAAACATGTGAAGTAGACATGCCAAAGATTAGAAATATAAATATATCTGAATATCAAAAATAAGTCACCTTCATTTGTTTATTTGCCTATTTCTCCACTACGAACTGTGCCCAGTTCCGTCTTATTCTGCCAGAACGCCTCACATATAGGAAAGAAGAGCATGTGGGATTTACGTAATGACGTTTGATCCTTGGCGAACCCCAGAACCAACCCTACTCCACTATAAAGGACACAGAGCAGTCATATATTTTAGAAGCTTACCCCATTCTTGCCTAGACGGTAGACCTAACCCCTTCTTTTTTGCCAAATGACATTGCCTCACCCTGCCTTTAACCTTGTGAGATGACCCGTAATTTTGGCTTACAGGCGTCAAAAGCGGCGATTACGACATCCCGGTCCGGCGGCGTAGCGTTAGCTCTGAGAGCACCACCACCACGCGAACCACGACCACCCGCACCACGACAACAAGTAAGGGACAACCTGCAAGAATCGGCATGGCAACCAAAAAAAAAAAAGTCAAAACCCCCTCCTAAAGATCCCAAGCAGGCTTGGCACTGCTTACAGATTGTGCACAAGTGATAACGTTAGATGGATATATTGGGAAAGTCACATTACCCGAAACAAGCAAATTTCTTGAAAATAAGAAATTATTTAAAATATAACGACCTGCTCCACATAAAAAGGTTGAAATTTAGTTATATTCATGGTTGGAAAGCCCACAACGTAAGCTTTCATTTGGTATATAATAGAGCTCCATGGCCCCTCCCGTTCTGGAGATATGACGTATTTGCATATGAATGACTTCCTTGGCATTCGAATTACAGAACTGAGAAAACAGGCTTTGAAATAGCTGGCTCTGTTGTTGATTTGGGCACGATGCACTCAAAATTATGGGTTTTTCCCCACTTTATTCATCAAAAGCAACATTTCTGTGAATGAACCCTGAAACCTTAGGTAATAAAGATGCCATTCATGACAAAAAAATTGAAAATCACATTTTGACAAAATGTTCACCCTCTCAACGTTGAACGGGCCTTTACACGATAATGCACAACACGACCTAATACCTTTTTTTTGTTGAGCGGGTCACATAAATTGTAAGTCAAATTGGCTTTGAGATGTGCCACACAGTTTTTTATTCCAAAAATGTACTTTTGTAATGTACAAAAAACCCCAATATATCCATCTATTAAAGCCTAACATTCCTTTTTCCTGTTTCCCAGCATTTTCCCTTCCCCTGGCTGCCTGACGTCATCCCGTCCTTCCTGCATGGCATTGTGTGGATACTGCCTCATCTTAAAAAAGATGTGGCAGTATATTTCAGTATTTTTAACCCTGTAGTGAACATGGTGAACAGTGGAAGAATTTGCGAAGCCATTTGTAACGGTGAACGACTCGCTGAGATTTTTCTCAGGGATTAACAGCGCAATTCCTGGTATTCAACAAACCAAAGAGCGACAAACTTAAGGGACCTCCAAATCGTGAAATAAAGAACGACTTGCTCAAATTCTCGTAAAAATGTGCTTCAATAATTTATTGAGAGCTCTGCTCAGCAAAACATGTCTATATACAATACAGTGGAACGTCGCTATACCGAACACCGCTATACGGAACTTTTGGCTATACCGAACATCATCCTTGGCTCCCAATATTTGTGTACAAAACGTACTGAAAATTGTTGTTAAAAATGTGAACAGAAGAGTGACAAGTGGCTATTATTTCCCCAAGGAAAAGAAGGGCAAAACCGCCAATTGCTGTAGATAATAAGCTCAAAAATTGTGTAATTACATGATTCAATGGTCGGCTCATGTTCAAAGTCGTCTCTCTGTAACTGCCAGGGCCGGGGGGTGTGCAGGATGAAGTGTTAGGCACTATTTCTTGTAAAGTGAGTATCGGGGCACCTTAAAATCGCTATACCGAATAATCGCAATAACAAACCATTTTGATCCTGTGGTGTTCATTATAGCGGCGTTCCACTGTACAATGAAATCGGGTACATATCTGCTCAATAAAGCCGAAGCACGCTCTTCAACTCATATTTGAATAATTAAACTTTTGTCAGAGTTCAGGGTTGTATCCAAAATCGACAATCGTTTGTCTTATAGGAATATGGAGTTGCTGCCGTAACATACACAATGTCCCCGAACACTTTACCTTAAAAACGAATGGCTGCACACTTTTCCCTCTGTTCACAGTGTTTTGTCGAGTCTGTGTTTTTTGTTCTCGTCACTGATTTGTTCCTGTTTTGATAGGTCTTGTCAGAGCTCCGATGTGCAGCATGAAGCAGCCTGACTGCTGTACCCTGTTCCAGCAAACTTACTAACTTTTGTTGTTGTTTTTTTTATTTATTGACTTATTTATTGATCTACTTTTTTATATTTTGTTGCCTTTTTGAAATTGGTGATTTCTCATGTTTGTTTAAGAAAGATTGCATGTGTACATCGACTGGTATTAAAGGCCACCAATTTTTTTGAGGAAAATGTGTCCGGAAATCATATGACTAATCAGATCACATATTTTTGAAGAGTCCAACCTGCGCTTCTCATGATTTTTTTCTGAGTTTCTGATGTCTATTTTTTGTTTTTAATCAGAACATTTTAAGTTTGATGTATGAATTTACCAGTCCTGTACCATGTAAACTGCTCATAAAACTAAAGTCAGAAATCGCTGGTTCTTCATACATTTGCCACAATTTTGCCAAAATACTGAATGGCTTCTAGTGTCGTTTGAGACACCTTTGCAGCATACAGCCTCATTTGAATCATTCTGCCAATTCCCTTTTTGAAAAAACATGCTGACTCTTTTTGATACTGAAATTGTTTCAAAGTTTCCTGAAGAACGCTTAGCTCGCATGAACCATTTCTGGATGTGTCACCACTCATGTTGTGTAGTAATCTTACGACTATAATTAGACGTCATTTCTGAAGTGGTACACAGCAACTGGCCAGTGTTGTAGTCGAGTCTGTCACAAGTCCCTGCAAGTCCATCACAAGTCCATGACAAGTCCTTCAGTCTCAAGTCAAGTCACTAGCTATTCAAGTGAATTGTAACAAAAGCATTCCTTTGTCATTGTCCATTGCGTTACTTGTGACTGGACTTGTGACTGGACTTGTGATAGGACTTGTGACTGGACTTGTAACTGGACTTGTGATAGGACTTTTGATAGGACTTGTGACTGGACTTGTGATAGGACTTGTAACTTGACTTGTGATAGGACTTGTGACTGGACTCAACTACAGCACTGGCAAGGGATGATGCAAACATGAAACAATGTCACTTAACAAATACTAGAGTATTCAGAATGTGCAAAAAAAGAAGGTCCACACACTAAATGTTCATTGAATCTTTTGTTTTATTTTATAATTTTTTTTAAACATCAACAGACGTTGCTCAACCAAAAACATCACATATCATGAGAGAATTATGCCTTTTTTGCAATACTAACACCCATCACTGCATTAGCAGCATGCATAGATTGCTCCAAATGTCCTTAGTGTACCGGTACGTGGGTTTGTTTACGTTGTAAACCGAGGACACACATGTGCAGCATCTTCGTATAATTGAGGACAGGAGTCAAATCGAGGACGTCCTCAATTAAAAAAAAAACGTGTACAAACCGAATGGGAGCTATTACAAAAAAAGATCAATGGCGAGGAACAATAGGAAATCCTAGATTTACACCATAAACAAACATGGGAGTATGCACATATGTGTGAGTGAAAAATGATGACGCATGGCCCACATGATCCACCTAGGATTTACGTACAGTAGCTGTCTCCCATTTGTCTCCCCTGTATTCCAAACATTGGTTTCGTATTGAAGACTTGAACAACTACTTAAACGAAAGTAGCATTGGCTTTTGATGAAATAACTGTATGGTTACCATTGAGTATGAGGTCTCATACAAAGTTGTGTTACGTTCTGTACAGTCTCACAAAAAATGACAATTCACATGTTAACAATCTTGTACTAATTTTAGTTGATGGTGAAGGAGATTATCACAACAAGTTCACAAAGTGTTATCAAATTGTTTATAGTTCACGATTAACAGTGAAGGAATGTACATGTGTACTGTTAAATTTGTCAACCAAGTGTTTTTGTGCCTTCAGTTTCACGATTATTAACTATATGTTTTAATTTTGTTGTAACAAGAAGGTTGTGGTCATATTACTTTGAAATTTATCAATCCTTGTACTGTATGTTGAACTAATATCAATTCTAAATTAAAAAAAAAATTGGCACATTCATTTAAATTACAGAAAAAAAGGTCGTCAGAACTAACTGCTGTTCTGTTAAGTTGATGTTGATTTTTTCGAAACCATATTCTGTTCCCATGATGCAACAGGAGAAACAATCACCAAGACGGTGGTTGTCGAGGAGGAGACAGTCATCAAGGTCAACTCGCGGGATGCTGGGAAGGGTCATGTGACCTGCACAATCGTGGGGCCAGACGGCCAAGAGGTGCCGGACTGCCACGTTGTCGATAACGGCGACGGAACCTTTGACATCATCTGGACTTGCCCCGCCCCCGGCACCTACAACGTGGACATCAAGTTTGGAGGGGTGTCGCTGACTGGCGGACCCATTACCATCAGTGTAAGTATACCTTTGAAATGCTCATTCATAAATGCCTTGGACAACCTGCCTTTTTCTATTGGCAGAGAGCCCATCACATGTGTTGTCTTAAACTGCCGTTGCAACAGCGATTTTTAAAACCAGTTTCGAGACCCTGGCTCTGCACCGCGCAAGGAGCAAACGGCGCACGTGCGCCGTTTGCACCTTGCGCGCCGCCTTATGGTGGTTGCTTGAGAATCACTATGTTGAGCAACGCATGCATGATGCACACCATAGAAGAGGCCTGAACATGCGGTAAAACGGTAAAACAAAATTGTTGGAAGTTTGTCAACTTTTCGACGTTTTATGGCTTATGATCCAAAATGTCTATTTATCATCGGGGATAATAGCAGAAAGTTCACGGCCTGGATGTGCTAAGGGTTGGGCACCAATGGAGATTTCTTTTGTTACATCACTAATTTCAGCAAAATTATGCTCTGAGATTAGCGTTCCTCTTGCTGTGCTTACTTCTAGGGTCTTCATGTGTTATCAGATATCATACGCTTAAGCAGCCTCATGAGATTTGGTTGAGGTGATACCAAGTCAACACGGTGTTAAAAGTGAAGCCACTAATTTCAGACATGAAGACTCATTTCCACCAGCACAGAATCTTTTCTATGATACATGTATCATTGTATTCATGCTGTGCTTTGTTTTCTCACGTCCAGCACCATAGTCCCCCCCACTTCATCACCGTTTCCTTTATAAAACCCGAACCGCCTAGGCCCTTTGGACTGGAAACCATCATCAATCCTACAAAATCCTCTAATTACCACCATGTAAAAATTGGATACAACTTCAGTCCTCCAAAATCATCTGTTATTTCTTGAATTTATTCAGAGGAGGGGTGACCACTGCCTCAATCCGTCCAAATGCTCTGACTCACTTTTACACACCTTGGAGCAGTGAGGATGATATGTACTGGTACATGTAGTGTAATTTAGGCATAGTTTATGCATGGCTGAGCATAAACCACACAAGGTGCAGCTTAAGACCTTGACACAATGCGTCCTCCAAAGTCAACTGGTACTAAAATGGCATAGAGCCTCAATCCTCCGAACTCCTCCAAAATCCTCCAAAACGGCATGGTTGATTTTGGAGGATTGAGGAGGGTTAGGGTTAATTAATGAGCTCAAGTGTCCCAACTTGAGCTCCCTTGACAATAATAAGCAAGTGAGATTTCCAACTATATCTTTTGGTACTGAAGCTTAATTGTTTTAGGTACAAAAACACTTCTTGAATGTGCTGGAAAGAAGACCCTGAAATGCCTTTCAGGGACAATGCACGATTGAAACCATGTGCCGCAACAACACAGTCTGTACATCATGTTAACATATATGTATAAAACAGATGTGTATCAAGCATTCACTGCATGCATGATTATTTGCAGAATCCATCAAGGCAAAAACAGATGTACCAATTGACGTCCATTGATTCTTTTCCAATCAATTGTATTTACTCTTTGTGAATAATGACATCTTTAATATTAAAAAAAGATTCCAAAACTGCTTCTACATAATCTACAAAAATTAAACATAACGAACATTTTTTTAAGGTTGTTGATTTTCTGTTAAAAAAATGTCTGTTTCCATTTCAGGAAATTGTAATTCCGTTCTATAAGAAAACCTTTTTCCTGCTTAATCATGTGTATATCATGCATGTAGTGAATGTTCTCCGAAACGACTAAGCAATTCTTGCTACTAACTTTAATTGAAAAAAACAATTTTAAAAAACACAGAGATACATAGCATGCTTTAATTCGAAATGTTGACAAATTTTTTTCCCCCCAATGTTTTATCTTTCTTTGTGCCAATACTAAATGGTTTTTCCAAAAAAGCTGCATTACGTTGCGAAAGTTGAAGTAGTTTAATTCTGTTCCATTTTCCATCGGAGTGGACAAGTAGCGGCCCTAAATCCTACCGGGAACCGACGTGACTATGGTGCGTCTTTGTGGTTTCCATCCCCTCATGAAATGTTGCCCTGACCCTCATCAAAATAAGCCATCTTGGACGCATCAGACTTGTAAATTGAATCAGTTGCACAAACCCTATGGTGTCAGGAATGTTGCCGCACTTGTGATGTCCACCGGCGCTGTAAACGGTCATACATTGCAGCTTCCTGAGGTCGTCGTAACAGATGGAGCCTATTACCCATCATCCTTTGCAACCCTTAATTGGACCATCATGATCCATTTGCATCATGCACGTATCTTGTTTTTGAAGGATAAGGTCGGCTTGATTGGCCGAAACAGTTGAAAACATTGTAGGAAAACCGTGTGCACTAATCAGCAAAAATACTTGGTTTCAAAACATTTTGTGCATCGACTATGGAGTGAAAAATGAATGTATTTACTTTGTCTGAGAATCAGCTCATTTCTAGTTTCTACAGAGTGTACAAAAAAAGTCCAACATTCAGAAAACAAATAATTAAAACTGTTTAATGTTATTTTTTCCTCAATGGAATTATGTATTACATTAAAGCCTGACTATTTCTCAATCCACTCCGTATACCCCATTCCATTTAGGTCCCTAGGTCCTGAAATACAATCAATTAAGTGAAAGGGTGTAAATTTTACTTGGGCCACTCTTTCCTGAACATGCTGAATCTTGGTTAAACATTGAATAGGCATTGAATAGGCATTGAATAGACACTGAAGTTGGTGACATGACAGTTGGAAGTGGCCCAAGTAAAATGTACACCCTTTCACTTGGTTGTATTTCTGGATCTCGAGACCCAAATGGAATGGGGTAAAAGGGAGTGGGTTGAGAAATAGTCAGGCTTTAATGTAATACATAATTTCATTGAAGAAAAAAACAAACAGTTTTAATTATTTGTTTCCTGAATTTTGCACTTTTGGCATGTTCTGTATCTTTGAAATAAACAACCCTTCAACTACACTGTTCGCGAGTTGTGTTCTAGCTAGATAGACTCCTATTGGAAAGGGTAATTTGTTGAACAAATCTCAAGAGAATTGAAAACAAATGTTGTTTGCTGATGTTGGGGGATTTGCTGACAGTTTGCAGTCATTAAATTACTTCTTAGGCCTTGATTCCAAACCGAATGGTACAGATTCTTTGCAAACGGCAACGCAGCTCACATTGTGTTTGTAGACGCACACTAAAAAAAGCTCACCAAAAGTCTGGTTTGGTCATTGATTTAAGAAGCATGGCTACAATAAACCCAAAAAATCTGTTGATGCCTACATATTCATTATAGAAAGTTGATTGTGAAAACCAACTCAGTGCCTAGAACAAATCAAAACTGGTTCATAATCAGATCTGAAGCGTCTCTTTCTACATTCAGAGGCTTAACAAATTTAGTTAGGAATTTCGGCCTAAGGGGAAATGAGGGACATGTGCTGTAAATACTTCAATACTTGTACATAAGAAGTGTTTAATTTTTTTTTGGAAGGCTGGATTGGTAGCTGTGAAGCTGTTGATTGAAAAGGATGCCTTGGATTGTTTTAGAGTCACCAAGGGTCATCGGATTGAGCCCACGGCTATTTTAAGTTTTGCTAGATGACTGCTTTTTCAATACGTGTATATGAGGAAGCAGCTCCTCGATCAAATTAAAATGATGGCATCTATACAAGTCAAACTTTCATTTGAGGTAAAGAAGCAACCTTAAAGATTGAAGCTTTTAGGATATAAGCTTAAAAGTTCCACAAAATCAGCTGTTTTGAGAATGACTAGAAGGTACATGTACACCAACTCTCTCCAGCATTAGCAAACTGCTCGGTTTTGTGCTTGACTGATACATTGGAAACTTTAAAACGCCGTGCAATTTGTTTAGCAGCATGGAATTTCTTCTTTCGTTTATATTACCAAATCCAGTTGTGCTGAATTTAAAGTTAATTGAAAAGGCACATGTATGTTGCACTGCGTTGTGGGGCAGTTTGCTTTAAGTCAGATATGCCCCAAATTGGAGGCAGATCTTTAAAAGTACATGGAATTATCATTAAGGACTAGAATCTTAAAATGGATGACTGAAAGCTGAGAGTGAAGTTGTATTTCAATCATGACAAATAAAAATGTGAAGAAAGGAAACCTAAAACATACCCTTTCCTTTGATTGCTACCGTACCTGGAACCTCAGCACAGGTTTTTTTTGTACTTATCAAGTTTATGGCACATAGGGTTTCATCCATGGAGAAATGTTGAAAATGCATCAGCGCAACTGACTGGATGTCTCATGCGTATGCAAAGCAGATCTATTTTTGAGCCCAGTGGCTGGATCCTGCTGGGAATTTCCTAGCGGGCACCAAGCCCGAGCCAATTCCAGAAAGCCACATGGATGTGGTAATACCGATTGCATCATAAGAAAGGCAGGACGTGTTTGACTATAATGAGAGTGACGGATGAGAATAGCTACAGCTGCTGTGTCTCTCATTTCTTGTGGTGGTTAGTGCGATATCACTTCATCAGCTAATGGAATTACATCATGTGTAATTCTGTGCTGGTATTTTTCTTTGGATTTGAAGACGTTTTGGTCGCTGAACTTGCTTCATAAATGTTTTCTCCAGCTTTGAGAAGACAAAATTGCGATGTGAAAACCTTTTGAGAACATCCTGAAGACTGTAGCTTGATATCAACATATTTGAGGAAAAAAATTAAGGGCAGGACTGTCAGTTAAAATCTTTTTATGGAAGATAATTGAAATTAGAAAAGGCGTTAGGATTATTAATTACATTGTCTGGGTTTCTATCTGCAACATTTGTCATGACAAAAAAAAGAAGTCGATACAGCACTGAGCATTTGCTGAAATTTCCAGACCAAACAAGCAACATTTGCCAGACATTCTAAAATCTTTTCATTTCGCTCTCCAAACATTTTGGATACATGAAAGAATGTGTCTGGAAGAAACTGAAATGTATGTTTGTTGGACATCTGCAAGATATTACAGTATTGTACATCGTGTGTTCAAGGCTGTACTTAAAAAAGGATGATATGTGCCGGAACTTGTATTACTTTGCATTTGATTTTC